CAGTTAATACCAATTTGATGGTGGGTACATGTGGTGCTTATCTTTCCATTCTTGGGATAAATATTTTGAACTTAAAAAAAAAAAAAACTACATACCTGGATGGTTATCAGTAAAATATCTAAGGCTGTTGGCTCCTCAGGTGTCGATAGAGACTTCCTCTGGCTTTGCAGCTTTGAGATCTGCATCCATTTGCCATTAAAAAATGAATAAAGCATCTCCACTTCCCTGATGGTGACTATGAGGATATTTCCATGTCGATCTTTAATGGGCTCATAGTAAACTCTTCCCAAGTTGTGTGTTCCAAGTAAATTCTAGAAACAAATAGATTACTGGTAGCTTGGGTGTTATGCAAACAAAGCAACGCAACTGCAACAAAAGACACTGTAAATAATTACCTGATTTCTGAGAAGTGGTTTTTTTTTTTTGCACTTAAACCTAGAATAAGTGGCATCATAGAAATGTACTTAACAGAAGCTCAAAGAAAATGTCTTCACCATGAGTCTGCAAAGATTATAGCAAGAGGCTCAAAAATCATGTTTTTTTAAAGCAAATTCAATATCTGTAAATATCTCTTACCCACATAGACACACCAGCACATAAACCTCAGTTACCAGCACTTGAAGAGAATCCCAGATGTTTTAAAGAAAAATGCCTGATATTTAAAGTATGCAACTTGTGGAGTTCTCAAGAGATCTACAGTAAGCTGGTATGAGGTGGGGTTGTTTAAAATGAAGAAGTGAATTGACAATGTAGCACATTGTACAGGTCCCCAAATGACTACACATTCCCTTCAAGATACTTTAATTGGAAGATTGGCCTGGTTTGACTTATCTGAATTTCAGGGAGTTCTATTTATTTACAAGTTTGTTAAAGTTGCTTATAAACTGGGTCAACTGAGGCAGACAATCCTTTTAGAACGGTAGGAAGGGAAGGATGCCACATTAAATGTGGAGAGGCCTAGGTAGTTGTTACTGAAATAAATGGGAGTTTCACAAATATGCAGGGTTTGAAGATTTCTAACCTAGAGCCCTGAATGAATAGGATAAAATCTCCTCTTGTTTTAAATATCTATGATTTTTTTAAATTATAAGTCATACCAGAGCTCCTAGCTGTTATTTTTGTGAGCTCACATAAATGGTGGTTAAGATGCCCTGTTACCATGCCAGCAAAAGTGGAACTGGAATTTGTAAAAGTGACAAGGATGATCTAAAAATGAATGAGCCAGGTGGTCAATATCCACATCTATGGCAACACTGGAATGTTCCCTCACAGGTAGGTAGGAGCTATGTCTTAACCCTTTTATTCTTCCTCACAAAGATTAGACACCTAACAAGTTTGGAATTTCATACATAATTACTGACATGTTATAAATATTTATTTGGCAAGATTATTATTATTATTTTTTTAAATGGCCTAATCAGTCAGATTTTTTTCTTTCCAATAATTCACATCCAAATCATAGAGAAGTAGCTTGGATATGGCTTTTAGTCAAGCCCTATGAAGTACTATAATTTTATATAGAGGAAGTTTGCTTCTAGGAAGCAGTGTGATGCTGATAAACTGACTAGAAAAAAAAAGGACTGATTTGTAGCATATGCCAATTTCAGTGGTGTAAATATTCCTGCTAAAGTGGATTTCAAATTACCAAGTGTTTGATACAAGCTTTCAAAATTCCTGAATGTTCTACAGTTGGCCCTCCTAGGTCAATACAAGTTGGCTCCAGCCTACCATTGCTATTAAGCTTTTACTTACACTTGGTGTTGAGTTTCAGGGCTGGCTGCCGTTCATTAACTGTTGGACTTCTGAAAAATTATTTACCCTGTCTAGTCCTGAGTTTCATCATCTAAATTTGAGTCCTTCAGCTCAGACATCAATTATGCTAATCTTTACCTCATTGAGTGTTTGAGGTATTAAATCAAGCAATGCATGAAAAAGTGCTTTTGTAAACTCTCAAGCTTGATACAATGTAGAGTATGGGCTTTCTTTACTGCTCTAATTGGAATCCCACCCTGGCTTACACCTACTCATTTTCAAGATGCAGCCCAGATTTCACCTTCTCTGGGAAGACTTTCCCAACTCTCCTAGGTAGAATTTACCATCCCCTCTCTTGTCCCCTACTGCTTCCTGTACAAACTTCCATTTTAGCATGTCTCTGGCTTTACTACCTATATTTGTGTATGTGTCATGAGATCATGGTTGTTTCATCTCTATGTCTCTGGGTCCCTTCCTTGCATAGTGCCTGTCACATAGTAAGAGATCAGTAACTTTTTGTTGACTAAATTAACATGCTATATTAAGACATTGGAAAATATGGTTCACTTTGAATTGAAGCTTATGGGTAGACATTGAGGTGATCATTTCACTTAAACGAAGTTATTATCAGTGGTTCATTATCAGATTTGGATAGGCTTTTTAATGGGATGAATAAGAAAGAACTAGAAATCTTCCTGAATTTTTTCATTGACATCAAATTTGGTTGGAGAGAGAGCATTAGGGAGAACCCAATTTAGAAGTAGGATATTATTGTGAAAATAAATTGCAACTATGTTCCAAGGGGTAAATTCAGGGTTCTTAGGGCCTGAAAAATAGAGCATGTTAATACCCGTCATGCTATATAATTGAGGTTAAACGACCTGGGCCCTTGATGACCCTACAAAAGGTGGAGAGGGACAAGAGCCACCAATGGCTAACAGGAATGCATCTAGGTTATAACCAGAACAAATCACAGGACTATCAATAAGCCCTAGACAGAGGCACCATATTAGGAGACCTTTATTCAGTTTGGGGTAACATGGGAAGTTAAAGCAAGTCCAGAGTCGGAATAAGAAGGCCTGAAAAAGAAGAGTAAAATTTTGGGAAAATCTTTTTTTTTCCTTTGACAAATAAAAAAGGGAGAGTATTCTTAAGTTGTTACCTAGCTCTTATTTACTAACATTCATTTCTAAAAGCTATGGAGGAGAAAAGTTTAATGTAACACAATTTATAATGTCAGATTATTACTGTCTTTTGAGGGTAAGTGGTTTAGACACTTCTCAATGTATGAGCAATGTACACTTCTCCCGCTTGAGGCCTCTGCCATTTTCCTAAGAGAAAGAAAAACAATGTGGGCTTTTGGTCACTTACAAGCTTTCTCATCTTAATTCTTTTTATCCAAATGCTGACAGATACTTGTCTCTCCTCCTGCCTTGGTAATTTTAATTAACTAATTAATTAATGCACACTTCATCTTCTCTCAAATGAAATTTAAGGCCACTTCTAGTGATGTACAATAGACTTCTACTTTTTCTTTTTTACTATAATGCAGATAGTTTTTTCTATTCAAAAAATGTTTCAAGGCCGGGCGTGGTGGCTCATGCCTGTAATCCTAGCACTCTGGGAGGCCGAGGCGGGTGGATCGTTTGAGCTCAGGAGTTCAAGACCAGCCTGAGCAAGAGCGAGACCCCATCTCTACTAAAAAATAGAAAGAAATTACTTGGACGGCTAAAAATATATATAGAAAAAGTTAGCTGGGCATAGTGGCACATGCCTGTAGTCCCAGCTACTCGGGAGGCTGAGGCAGAAGGATTGCTTGAGCCCAGGAGTTTGAGGTTGCTGTGAGCTAGGATGACGTCACGGCACTCTAGCCAGGGCAACAGAGTGAGACTCTGTCTCAAAAAAAATAAAAAAATAAAAATAAAAACTGTTTGGGACTTTTGGAAATTAATACACAATAAGATGATGAAGTACTAGAAAGAATGCAGGGTTTGGAGTTTCATAAACCAGGAGTTTGAGGTTGCTGTGAGCTAGGTTGACGCCACGGCACTCTAGGCCGGGCAACAGAGTGAGACTCTGTCTCAAAAAAAGAAAATAAAATAAAAATAAAAACTGTTTCTGCTTTTTGGAAATTAATACACAATAAGATGATGAAGTACTAGAAAGAATGCAGGGTTTGGAGTTTCATAAATCTGGATTTGAGTTAAAACTCTACTTTCTATCTTTGTGCAAACTTGGGCACAAATTAATCTTTCTAGGCCTCAGTTTTATCATGTTAAAGGAATACCAATAATATTATATTAGTACTTTCTCATTAGGTTGTGGTGAAGATTAAATGAGATAAAGTTTGTAAAGCATTTAGCAAAGTGCCTGGCACCTTGACTGTTATATGAAAATAGTCATTTCACTATTATTATTTATTATTATATATTAAAGGACCTCATTATAGAGCAGAAACGTTCTGAGTCTTACACTCACAGGAAAACAAGGTACAGTGGTTGGTGTGCCTGGTGATGAAGGTAAGTCAGAGTGCTATGGGCACAGAAGAGGGGGAGAAAGATCATGATTAATGCCTTTTTGGGCCATAATAAAATGTCTGAGCCACTACTGAAGGAGTCTAAGTCAGAGAATGCCTTGGTCAGAATCTTTTAAACTGGCTACTCTGGCAGAAGTGTGGAGAATGGATCAGAGGGTGTTAAGGCTGGAAGCCGTAAGGGACAACTTTGGAGGCTTTAGACCTAACTGGAGTAATTGGGCTGTAGTAGTAAAATCAGAAAGGAGAGGAGAGTAAAATGAGATAGCCCAGAGGTAAGTCAACAGGATGTATGATTGATGCCAATCAAGCTATATATTAATATAATGCATTTTTACTTTCCTCAGAACATTGTAAAAATTTAGATTAGTAAAGTGACCTAAAATATTAGGTACGTGTAAATCCACAAATTTCTTTTTCTTCCCCTTCTGAAAAGTTTTTTCTATACTCCCACGCCCACTCCCCTTTCCCCTGAAAAAGTGCTTTCAATATTTCCAGACATTTTCATCCTAGAGACTGATAAATAGTTTGGACAATAGGTCCTACAAAAAAAAAAAAAGATGAAAGCAACTCCTGTTATGTGACCAGGCTAAATGAAACATGGAGAGAAGGGAATGCGTAACAGTGCTCAGGCCTTGATGGAGGTACTATGAGGGGTGACAATTTATTGAGGACTGTGAGGCTGTGGTCACTGTGCAGGACTGGGGAACTATCCAGATGGTAACTATGGTAGAAGACACGTTTCTGTGATCTCTTTTCCCTTTGGTTAGATAGGGATTCGCACAAATGTGATCTTTGGGGTCCATGGGGTTAGACTGACAAATAAATACATTTATTTATGCAACTCATACTTACTGAGAGTCTACCACATGGGGATATAGTGGTAACTGAGACAGACACATTCCCTTAACTCAAGAACTCACAGTCCAAGTGAGTCACTAAACAGACAATAATACAAATAATTAACTTATGGGATTATGGCCGTTGTTCTGAATGAAGAAATGGAAGCCACTATGAGAGCGATTTGCTTAATCAGGAGATCCAAGAAAGGCTTCCGGAGGATGTATAAAAATTAAGCTGAGACCTGAAAGATATGTAGGAATTAGCAAGGCAAAGAGGTGGAAGAAGAGGATTCTAAGCAGAGAAAACAGCGTGTGAGCTAGCAAAGGAGACTGAGAATGACAGGCCAGGAAGTTGGAAGAAAATCAGGAGAGTGTGAAATCAGGAGAGTGGAAGCCAATGGATGTGGCAGTTTACGAAAGGAGAGCAGGACCAATTGTATCAGATGCTGCTGAGATGTCAGTTGTGAAAAGGACTTAAAAATGTTCATTGGATTTAGTTAAACTGAAGTCATTGGCAAGGATGGATGTAGGTTTTTGTGGGGTCCCGAACCACGTAAGTTTGGAGCCATCTTTAAGACAAGGTATACAAAATTACAAATGTAAAATTAGGTGTAACACTAAATATTTACTTAGAATGATAAAAGAAATCCTGCTCCCCGCCAGCAAATACTAGAGTATTTGGAATTTTGGGTCTCCTTTTCTCCCTGAAATTTCTTTAGGCAATTTATCAGAAATGCTTCCTGACTGCGACCCAACTTCCCCTCCCCACAAAAAACACTCTGAGTCCTACACTCACAGGAGCTCATGCAAGTGAGGGGCCCTGAAACTCCAGCTTCCTTAGCATCATCTGCCTCTGATTACAGGTGCCCTTAGAGAGCAGTTTTGTAGGCTTGATGGCAGCAAAAGACAGAGAAAGTGCTGAGAACTGATGGGAAAAGAAGTCAGTGGAGAATGAGGATGTAGGTAACTCTTTGAAGAAGTTTGGGTAAGGAGGAGAAAGATAGTTTGGTAGCTGAAGGGGAATGTGGGGCTAAGGGTGGAATTTGGGGGGAGATTAAATTGGAGAGACTTGAGTATTTTTAAATAAAGATGGGAGGAAAGAGATGGGATCCAGTGCACATGTGGAGGAATGAACTTGTGGTAGAAGGAGTGAGACTTTTATCTGTTGGAATAGGAGGGAAGAAAGAGAAGGTAGGGATAGTACAAGGAGGTTTGTAAAATTGGCAATGGAAAAATCATCAATTCACATTTTTTCTTAACGAGTTAGACAGTGAAGTCATCACCTGAGACAGGGATGGAGAGTGTGGGGAAGGGGAAGGGATGTGAGAGAATGGAGAAGGTTTTAAATAGTTGCTTTATAGTGTGGGAGAATAAATTTAGTAGAGAAATGAAATGGGACCACTAGAGAACATTACGTGTGAGAACTGTAGTCATAATTTAACATAAAACCAGTCAGCCTTTTTTTGTGATTTTTCTGCAGCAATGTACAACTATTTCAGTATAGACATGTTGGATTCATCCAGGCTTGGAATTTTTCCAAATGAAAAATATGGAGAGAGAAAATTTAGAATATTTTCAAGGAAATGATTAAGATGGGCCAAGGAATCTAAGCTGGATCAGGAGGGAAATGGTTTGAGAAGTGGGCTGGTGCATTATGAAAAATGGTACAGTCAGTAGATTTGGGGGTTGAGGAAATCCAAGATCTATTGCAGTGGATTAGTTCAGTAGGATCATGCTGGCCATGATGGTGTCCCTGAGTGTCTGGCTGCACTCACTTGTAGCATCCTGATCCTTCTCATGTTACTGATATCAGATGAAAGTGTTCTAGGAAGCCTCCAATAAACACATAATAAAGATCCCCACTTGAAATTCTAAAGTTGTTAAGTCTGTGATCCAGGCATGTCTGGATTGTATGGTGGGCTAATGGGAGGGTCCACTAAGGAGTCTGAACCCCCTGGGAATGTACTTTATCCTAAAGAAAGAGTAGCTTGAGGTACAGTGGCATGGTCCAACTCAACTGGTCAGTGACGAAAAGAAGCGGCACTTCGAATTCAGTATAGTTATCATGGCCCAGCTTCAAGAACTTCTCCTTGAATTGGAGGACAAGATTCTGCAATCAAGAGTTAAAATGAAGAACATTGTTTGCCAAAATGTCATCGAAGATACAAGGCAGTAAACCACCTATGTAATGTTGCATAGCACAGAGGGGCAAAATTTACATTTCAGAATTAATTATAATAAAAACACAATGATTCTTATTATTGCAGGGGGTGGAATTATTATTTTGGGGTTCAAGAAATGAAGTTCCTGTAATTACAGATGGGGGTGGAGCCATAGAAAAATTTTTGTTAATGTGACCCTATTTTTATAGTGTGGTTGATATGGCCTGGCCAAACACAATTTGGATTTCTGCTATGCATAGTTCTGTCTTTGATATAACTTGACAGCTTTGTAGGTAGATACCCATCACTGATAAAGGCTCGGCAATCTCTTAAGGACATCAACTCCATGTAGCAGATGTTTTTCTGTACTAAGAACCACAAATTCTGTTAATACCAGAAAACAATGGGAGGAAAACCCAGAGAGCTTGGTTAGAATTCAGTGCCTTTTTCTAGGAGGAGCTCTGTGACCTACAAAGATTGGGGACTTGATCTGATTTTATTGATAGTACGGAAGGATGAATAAATGCAGGATTAAAGATAATCTTTTAAGAGTTGTTTTTTGTTTATTTTCATAACGAAGCAAAAATATACACAAATCATTTGGCTTTACCAAGAAACTCCTCAGAACATCTGCTGGTCTCTTTCTCTATCTCCACACACTCATAGATGCATAGGATACGAGAGCAGCCAGAGTTCTTCAAGTGATCAAACTTCTCTTATTTTGCAAGTGATGAAAGGAGGAATGAGTTGACTAATATCAAATCTAGAACTCAAGTCTCTTTATTCCTTATTTAGTGGATACTCATAGACTTTTCAAGAGAGGCCCCCTTAGAGGAGATTGCCAAATGCACAGCTTCCCCACATGAGCAGGTATGCAGCTCAAACTGTCCAAGAAGCATTCATGTGCCTAGGGATGTGAATGAGGAAGGAGCCCACCCTTGTTCCGCCCCCCACCCCAGGTGGGATTGGTAGCTGAACTGTCCACTTTTTAAAAAGTTCCCTTCGAGGTCTGGGTTGAAACCTGGCCCCTCACCTGTAGCTGGGCTGCTGCTGCGAGCATCTTCTGTCGAGTTTGCAGCACTGTGGATGAAGACATGGAGGTAGGTACGCTTTGCCTCAACCACCTTATATCTTCCCACATACAAGACAGCTGCAAAAGAAGTCACGAGGTCATATCATCGTCCAAGCCAGTACATGATTTAGGTTGTGGCATCAAAGCAAAGCAGGGAGAAGGAAACCTGACCCCTGATGTTTGTTCTCCAGTCCATTTTCAGATACATGCGAAACAACTTTTTGATCTCTGTCCAACTGGAAAAAGATCTGAATGCTAATGAAACAGTCAGATCCACATTTTAGTCTTTGCCAAATGATCCCATAACTCAGAATAGTGGAGACACAATCTGACAGGATGCAAGCCTCTTTGCTTTGAAACTGTAGTGTAGACACTACTTTGTCATTTTTTAAGACATAGGGCATATTAGGGCTGAAGGGGACCTTTGAGATAATTTACTTTTACCCCCAAACTTTGATCACCGGAGACCCCTCAACTAACGTTTCAGAGATCTGTGTGCAGTAACATTTATGCAAAGTGGGGGAAGAAGGAAATCAGAACTCAGAATACCTTTGTGAACCACAGAAAATCTTGTGTAATGGAGCTGGTGTGAGAGTCATCTATTTCAACAATCGGTATTTGATCTTCATTGGTGACTAAGATATTGTCTTTGTAATAAAATATGACAGCTATGTAGAGTCCCCTAAAAAAAAAAAAAGGAAAATAAAAACTGTCCTCAACCGTCTCCTCTACCAAGCTTCAGTCCTGTAAAAAAAATTTTTTTGGACGTGATAAAAGATGAGTTTAAAATATACCTAGGAACATATTCCTGCTAAGTAATCATAAATTTACTGGCTAGAACTCAGAGAAATTACTATCTTGCCCAAATTCTCAGGAGAAAAGTAAACTTCATTCTTTTAATAACAAAAAAGAAATTTCTACCAAGTTTCCACTCAGAACCCAAACCAGCTCATTCCTGAGAAGTTAAGACTTCCTGGAAGAACTACATAGGACTCACCGTTTTAACGTCTTCACAAACTTGTTTGAGGAATGGAATAGGTGTTTCAGGCTCCTTGAGACTGACTGCTTTCGGCCTGTGGTTTGTAATTTTGAACTTTCTGGAACATAGAAAAAAATAGCATAAATTCCATTTGGCAGACCAACACCACCAATTCCTTCTTCCTCCCTTCCCCTCCCCTGTCCCCTCAGAGCTACTTATCCTCAGTTTCGTGTAGGGATTTAGCTTATTTATTCCCACAAGAAGCTCTTGTATCTTAAGATGCCAGCAGTTAATTAATGAGCAACTCCTCAAACATGTTGGAAATGAGTGATATTTATAACTGTAAGGGAACCCAATTAGGTGTTTTGTTGATATTTTTGGGATGGGTGATATAAGATAGAATAAGAAGAAATGGAATCAAATCCATTGCTGTCCTCTCCCTACTCCCAATTGCCTTTTAGTATTCATATACTTCTCAATGCTGGCAAAGCTCTCCTTGTTAGTCTATATATTCCATTACATTTTTTGATTATGAAATTAATATAGGCACATTATAGAAAGTCTAGAGAATAGAAAAAAAGAAGAAAACCCAACCCATATTATCCTTTTGTATAACCACTGATAGCATTCTGGGGCACTTTTTTCATTGTGTATGTTGGCTCACAAAAATAGTTGTAGGGATAGGTATGATTATCATCCTCATTACTCAGAAGAAGAAACTGAGGCTGAGAAGTGAAACGAATTGCCCAAGCTTGAAAAGCCAGTACCTAGGGAAACTGAGACATTTATTCATTGAATAAATATTTACTGGGACACTTCTATGTGTGAGGCAATGATACGGACCATGAGAACATGGTCCGTATCATTGCTGTCAGGCATAGAAACTTGACCAGATGGCCCATGGCTGAGGCCCAGTGTGGCTCTGCCTATGATTATATAGGAACAGTTGACTGACACAAGTATTCATGTCAGTTTCAAGCTTATACTGGTAATGGTTATTCCTGGCAGAATAAAGCAAAAGCATTTTTTTCCCCTGACTTGAACATGAGTTTAGCTGCTTGAAAATGATGCTTCTGGGACTTCCAGTTCAATGCCGCACAGTTAACATGCTCATGACATACCACTCTCTCTCAAAACCTCACTAAAACCAGAGTAGAGATTATGAAAAAAAAGGAGACAACATAAATCTGTAAACACAAAAAGAAGGGAAAGGAGACAAAGCAAGTAAGTTTTGGTAGCTGGAAAGCAGATGGACAGATGGATTTAACAGACTTGAGAAAGATGAAGCCTAAGCCAGCAGTGGAGAAAGCTGAGAAGTAACCTGATTCACCCATGGGCACCATGGACTGCTGGAAGTGAGGGGTGAGTGTGAGCTAAAAATCAGGAGGATTTGTTAAGTCTATTTAAAAACCAGTTAGACTTCTCAATCTCCTTTCCTACTGCATAGCTAGACGAATGCCCCTTCCCCACTCGAGAAGAAAGCTAGTGGCTGATTCTCTGGAAATCAAATAACAAAAACAAAAACAGGGAACCACAGAGGTTTCTGGAGTGGGAGACATCAGGTACTGTTGAAAATGGGGTGACAGTAGTGGTGGTGCAGGTGGATTGAATGAAAGTTTTCATACATAATACTTCCCCATTGAGTTCTCAGAACACTGGTACCCAAACCTGTACCCTTTATGCAGGACACTGGAAGAAACTTCTCTGCAGAATTTGACCAGCCTGGGAAAACACACCCAAAGATTTTCCTAGTGGTAAAGGCAGTGCTAGATCACCCTACAGTGAAGGCTATAAATAAAGAGCCCTATGCATGTGCTTAGAGCTTCCCAGTGGTTATTGATTTCCCTTCTCTTAAATCTGAGCAAACATCCAAGGATCACCAGGCAATGGAGGAAAGCAACTAGCATGAAATGCAAAGGCCAAAAATAAATAAACAAAAGAATAACTTAGAGGAAAGAGAGATTATGCTGAGAAAAGAAAATATAAAATGAAACAATGCCTATCATTAACAATCTGAGAGATAAGAGAAGATATTGTCTCCTTGTAAAAAGATAGGTGTCTATAAAAAGAACCAATCAGACAACAAAAGAGAGCATTGGGAATTAAAAATATGTTATCAAAAACTGAGAAACCCAGTAGGAGGCTTAGCAAATGAAGCTGATGAAATCTCTAAGAAAATAGAGTAAAAATATGAGGATGGAAAGTAGAAGAAAAAAAAAATTAAAGGACTAATGTGGGAAATACAACAGCTAAATAATAACAAGAGTTCTAGTAGGAGAGGGAAGAAGAAAAGAAGGGGAAGAAATGATTAAATAATTTAAGAAAATGTCTCACAATTGAAGTGTATAAATTTTCATATTGAAAGAAATTGCCAAGTGTCCAGTACAACAGACAACAGATACTAAGGCACATCACAGTGAAATTTTAGAACATGGAAGACAAAAGAAAAGTTAAAACCTTCCAGAGAGAAAAAAAAAAAATAGGTTTCATATAGAACCTCTGGAATCAGAGTGGCCTCAGACTTCTCAGCCCTGAGAGCTAGAAGAAAATGAAGCAATGCCTTCAAAATCTGAAGGAATATTATTTCAACCAAGAATTCTGTACTTATCCAAGCCTTGAATAAATATTAAGTAGAATAAATACATCTTTACACATGCAATGCCCCCTGAAATTTGGTTCCAAACACCATTTCAGGAAGCTACCAGAGGAAAGGCTCCACCCAAATGAGGGGCCAACCCAAGAGGAAGGAAGACGTAGGATATAGAAAGAAGAAACCCAATGCTGGAGAGTGGTAAGAAGAGTCTGCAGTATGGTGATGACAAAAGTGATGCCAGAGTGACAGCTGTGTGCACGAGGCATGGGGGCAGCCAGTAACCAGTCTAGACTGGAGCAGGACAGAGAGCTCCTGAAAGGTTTCCTTAAGAAGATGCAATTGAAACACCTAATGCATCTGATTATATCGAGAGAAGATAGTTTGGGGATTAATTAATATAACCACATAGGAAAACAAGCAAATACAATAAAAGATGATTATTAACTACAGGGTAAACAAAACGGTATTCGAGAAAGGAAAATCATACTAAAATTTACATTATCATTATAATATAAACAATAAACACTGATCTTACTAAAATTCAGTATAAATATATTAGGAGGATAAGAAGCTAGGAATTGTGTGTGTACATAAGAGAGCAGTGGGGTAAAAAAAGATACATCATCATTTTCTTGAGTAAGATAATACCTAAAATTAAAAAAAAATTAGAAATATAAACATGTCACTTAGAGATATGGGGAAAATGCTAAAAGAATTAGCTAAAAGTTAAGAGGTTGCCTTTGAGGACTAAAAAATGGAGGATGGAAGAAATTGCTTTTATGAAAATGATCAATCTGTTTTAAGTGCTTTTACTTAAGTCAGTCAATCCTTAAACAATGGGTGAATGAGGCGTATGTAACTATTATCTGCATTTTATAGATGAGTGAAGCACAGAGAAGTTTTAACAACTTGCTCAAGGTCACACAGCTAGTTAAAGTCCAGCCTGGATTTGAACTCAGGCAGTCTGGCTTCAGAGATACATTATAGTTAAGTATAACTTACATGAACATGAAGTTAAACTAAAAAAAAATTAGACTAAAAAATAAAAAAAAAGAAAAACAAGAAATGCTATTACCAGTTGGGAAAGAGACCTGTGCAAGCATTAAATATTCCAGGTCACCTCCCTTCTGGGCACATGGTAGAACTGCACTCTGGAGCCTTTATGGTTGAGTGGGGCCATGTGACCAGTTCTGGCCAATGAGTTTTGAGTGTTAAGTGACATCATAAAGTCTTGCCCATGTGAGACCTTTAAGACTATGGTTGCTGGCAAATATTTCAGAGAGAGGATGATAACAGAGAAAAAAAGCCCCCAGGTGACCAGTGGTAGATGTATAGGATGAGGAAGAAACAAACATTTGAGGGATCATTTGGTTATTGCTGCATAATATGGCCCATCTTGACTGATACGTCGTCTAAACTCACTTTTCTCCTGAGAACCACTGTGGCTTCTATACTGTACTTCTCTGCTTAGTTCAGGCTCTGAAGCAAAGGTGCACTTTCTGTACTCCGAAAGCAATAATTCTCTAGCGTATCAGTACATGTAGCATAGGGAGTTTATTTCCTTCATATTGGCACGTCTAGCACCTACTATGTGACCTGCATAATCATGCAGTAGGCAGGGTTTCAGTTAATGTTGTTTTGCAAGTTGAATCATTGGATAATAACTGAAATTCATTCCTATAGGATAGCCCATGATGAACACAACTGGCTTATTTATACTGTATATATTGTATGTATGTCAGTGCACTAACCTTGTGAATAATAAAGCTTGCTCAACATTTGCCTTGAATTTTCATCCCGATACTGAGCATCCAATTAGCTGTGGCCAGTTCTTTAGCCAAAATGCAGAAATTAATGTGGGTTTTGGTACCTCATATTTAGGGTTTTGATAGGAGAAGGGATGTTTTATTATTTCTATATTTGGAATATGCTGTATATTTAGTGAGTACCCTGGGCTCATTACAGTAGAGTCACTGATTACACTTCAATTCTACATGTTAGAATTGAAGTGTAATCAGTGCTGAGGATGGAGAGTAGCCCCATTCTCCGTCTGGAAGGACATTGGAACAAAAATAAGCTGGAGTTTGTGAGCGGCCTACACTGTGCCAGGTGAATTTAATCCATTAGCTAATTTAATCTTGATAGCAACCATGCAAGATAGAAATTATTATCCTAATATCGTTGATGAAGAAGTGATTGCTCAGAGGGGTTAAATGCTTTTCCCAAGAACACACAGTAAGTGGTAAAACTGGGATTTGAAATAATTATTTTTTTTAATTGTAAAGTTTGTAAAGGTTTGTGTCCCCAGTAGAGCACATAGTATTTCAATGTAGTGGAATATTTTAAATAATAATTTTGTCCTCCTCTGTAAGCAATACTTATATTATCCTTCATTTATCCTTTTAAACTTATAGACAGTTATGTTAAATCATCTTAGAATCGTTCCTTTTTTGTGTGAGGTAGTTTCTTCTATTTTAGCATCTTATAAATCAGTGTTCCCCAAAGTTTGTGCCTTGGAATACTAATTCTGTGAGAAAAGTTTTCCGTGACTAAAGAAGTTTAGAAAATGCTTGTTTAACCAAATTCAACATGTCTCTTTATTGGAATCTTTACTATTCTAATGCATATTTTATATTTCTAAGAGAGGGATATAGAATGCAACATTTCCCAAACTTACCTGACAAGAGAATCTTATAGGACCACTGTTCTTTGGAACACACTTTGATTCATTGTTTAATTGTCCAGAGTACATTTAATATAAAAAATATTCCTCCTTTTTGGGAAGTTCTATCTTATGCCTTATTTAAATCTTTCCTGCTACTGTGTATATATTCACATTGCTGTGGGGGAAAAGCATGTACACGACAGAAGTTGGATGGACACTATAGAAACAATCGGTCTGTCTAGACAATCATTTCTTGATTATTAGATAGTAATCCAATAGTAATGGGGAGAGCATCTGAATCTTCAGATAATGTTTAAAAAAATCCCTCATTCTCATGAGTAGTGTCAGCTTTCCCTCTCTGATAAAGACCAAACACACAGTGGTTTATGAATTGCAAAGAATCATCAGTCCAATTGCTATTACCTTAGCTGCCATGCAAGAACCAACGGGCAGGGCAGCGATGGAGAGGCAGAAGACAAGAAAGGAGCCCAGGTAACAACTGGCCTAGTTAAATGAGCCCTAGATAACTGAGAACTGAGTGTCTTTTGATCAGTGTGGAAAGTTGAAGGTCCTGTTCTGGGTAAAGTCTTCCTAGGGATCTGGGAGTGGAAATCACTCTTGGGTTTCCTTCTCAAGTTACTTACGTGCATATTTACGTCTCTTAATGGACAGTTCATTCGATGGACATTATTTTGTTGCAAACACTTGTCCTCATTTCTCTCTAGAACCAACATTTCTGAAGGGCTCTGTTGTCATAGCTATAGAGCTACATGGTAATTGGGAACAAACCTTTGTTAATGCTCAGTATGATTTCTTTACACCTAGCCCAAATGCAGCCAGCAACTCTTAGTTTCAACTGTGGATTTCTTGCCCAGCTGGTCCAGCAGGGCCCTGAATCTAGAGAGCACAGTGTAGTTGGAGATCTGATGGGGAGCATGGAAAATTAAAACTTTATGTAGGCTTTAATTCTCCAAATAAAACTAAGTGCCTTTTCCACGAATCATTACACAGATCAGAAACCTGACCCTGTCCCATTTGAACAGCCCAAGTAGAAGAGATGCTTTTAAAAGCTTCTCAGAAATTCCCTGGATGTAGTTGGCGAAAGTCTAGAGAAAGCATGCTCTACTTTCCCTCGAGCAGTAGTACTGGGGAAGATTAAAATTCAGGGCGAGATTAAAGTTCAGTGCCCAGTCCTGATGTAAGGGTGGGAGACAAAAATGAAGTGTGACAGGAAGACTGGACTTGGAACCAGAAAACCCAGGTTGGAGTCCCGATTTTGTCTTTTCCTGGCATTGCGACCTTGGGCAAACCACTTAGCTTCAGCAGTAACTGCCAAGATGAGGATTAAAAAAGAGATACTGGATGTAAAATTGCATTGTAAACTGTATTATTCGTAGCTATGAAGGTTCATTATGATCGTTGTTATAATTGGTCGAGCTTCCTTAGGGATGCTCAGGAAACTTTCCTTGGAGGTGAAAAGTTTGAATACCCCAAAGACCCAGCACCACCAAGGAGTCTTGTGAAGGCACAATTTAAAGAGAAAGGAACTAGTGGAAGCTGCTGGTTTTCTTGTGCTTATTTTCAAACTGTTCACATGGAAAGAGGGAGAGAGAAGGCAGAGAGAGCGAGAGTGAAAGGGAGGGAAGGAAGAAGAGGGAAGTCACTTCTGAAGGGTTAAAGCAAGATAGTGCTGTAAAGTGATTCCAGATGTACAAATATTAATATCTCTCTCTCCCTGATGAATGAGAAGGTATGACCCAGTTAGGAGACTGCTAAAATTACCGGCGCCACCGAGACCTCGGTCGATGGCCCAGTGCAGATTTTTATCCTTACCCCGGCAACTGTAATGCTGATGAAGGGCTCGGACCTGCTGCAGCAGACCTTCCAAAACTTCACTCTGTCCCTTGTGTCTGGGCTCTCTGTCGTCATAGTCTTTCCAGTCTATTGAACAAAAGAAACAAACAGAGTGAAGTTTTAAAGCAGGGGAGGCCTCTTCCCTGCCCTGCCTCGGGAGCCGGAGTGTTGCTCATACTACCCACAGACCGTGATGAGCACCCAGCACATGCAGAGCTAGCAGGCAGTGCCAAGTACTTGGAAGCTGCCATTGTTCAGAGCCCTGTGCAAAATAGTAATTGTGGTTGGTTTCTTGTGTTGGGCAGTTTTAGGGCAAGAGAAAATGGTAATTGAAAGCCAAAAGAAAATAGGAAATTTGGGAGTCCAATCTCTCCTCTCCCTACCCCTTCCCCCGCTTTCAGCATCCCATATCCTAATCAGTTCCTCTGCCACCTCTCCACTTAGCACCCCAACTCTCAACTAGATTTTCAAAGTAGGAAAGAAAGGGGTGGGAATGTGCAGACTAGATGAAATCCACAGTCCCAATGCTTTTATTGTAGGTTTCACACTTTTGGCCAAATTGACATTTCTTTCCAAGGAAAGAGCCCATGTCAGATGCCAAGAAATGGAAATCTACATTTTGCTCTAATGAATGTCTGCTTTGGTTAGCTGGCACAGCTACCCCCACACATACTCTGAGCCACCAACCACCCTGTCTGCTCAGTCTCTAAATATACAGTATTAGCTTACATGGCAAATTTAAATTGCAATACCCACTGAGATTTTTCTCTCCCTTCTATTTTCATTCCATTTGGCTATAATGATATCAAGAGTAATAACTCATATGGGACTAATGTCAGGATTGTAATTCTGCTGTCTCCAACCCTTGATTTTTTTTTTTTCAGCAGGTCAGTCATTTCATAGTCCATCCCTTCTTCCTTCTATTTTCTTTCCCCCTTATTTTCCTTTCTGAATCTTTCAAAAGCAACAACTTAAAGCACTTTTTGGTTGAAATGCTTTCTCTAAAATTGCTAGTCCTTCTTCCCTAGAAAAGCCAGTTAGTTCATGAGTGTATCTTGGGCTTAAATTCTAGTTAAACAAGTTTCAAATTCCTTCCCCCACAGATTTTATTTTAAAATACCGAGTCTCCTTTATTTAGAAACTTAAATCAATGTCATGATAGTTAAAGTCAGGTAAAAGCACCTTGTGATGGTTCATCCAAGGCCCAGGAGTATAGTACAGCATGTTAGGAGGAGCTCACGTTCTGGGGTCAGATAAACCTGGGTGTGAATCTTGGCTTCTTGATTCCTAGCTCAGTGTCTGTAGGCGAGTTACCTACATTGATAGGGCATCTACTTCCTACCATGAAAAACGAGGATAGTATCTACTTTGCAGGATTTTTGTAAGGACTAAATGAGAAATATATTAGGTATCTGGCACAATGCCTATTATACACTAAGCATTTTGTAAATAATTACTTAAGTGAGGGGAGTTCATGATGGAAACACCATTTCTTACCCTATCAGATGATTACCTATGAAGAAAGGGACCTCAGAGATTTTCTAGTCTTTTTTCCTTCCTATCCTCCCCCATCTCCATTTTACCGTTCAGAAGACTGAGGCCCAGAGATAACCGTTCCAGTGCTATATTACTCAGCTTGTCAGGGCCATAGCCAGGACAATAGCATTGCCCTAGGACCGTCCCTATAGTGTTCATTTTATCATACCATGGACATGTTTTGTTTTGTTTTTTTTCTTTCAGGAGAAGGATCAGAATCTTGGTTGGAGTTTGTGTGGTGTGGCTTAGTTGTGGTCAACGTGGAGACAGGGAATTGGCACAGGTGCCTTTTGTAGACTCTTTGTTTCTTGTGCTCAAGAACTATGACTTAATCTCTCTTTGCCTCAGATTTCTTCTCTGTAAAGTGAGTTTTAAACAATCTCTTTTTAGGTTATTTGAGGTTTAAAAGAAATAATGTAGTAAAGCACCATCCTGGGCACATAGGGGACACTCAAGTGTTGGTGAGGCATTGTAAACAGAAGCATGATGGTGTTCATGGGATAGGGAAGGGTTTTCACCGGGAAATTTGAAAATGTTTGAGGAAATAAATACCCAGTGGCCCTCGGAGTATTTGTAGTGCCCCTGGAACCTGGGCACAGTGAGAAAAAATGTTGCCCTCATGGATTTTCAAAGGCCATTATGAGTTCTCTTAGTTGAATGAATGCATCTGAAATGCTCACGACAGGATGAGCAGGATTGTGTGTTTGAGTAAGACTCCTGGGTGGCTGAATTACTACGTGGCCCTGAACATGTTAATGCATTCTAATGAGTGTTAATGCTGCCATCAATGCGTGGGGAGCCGAAATGCGCCTGCCTCTTTCAGCTCAGCCCTATTACATCAGACGCAAGCTCGATCCTGATGACTTTATGATACATTAGAAAATTGCTAATGCTAAATTGCAGCCCAAGTGAGCACTGGACATGATGCCAAGGTTTTTGGAAAGAATGAGTTTTTCTCATAGATGTTTGGAAGGTTCTGACGACTACATAAAATAGGAGACTTTAGGGATGAGGGAGAAAATTGAAAATATATTAAGAAATCAGGAACCTGACAGGAATAAACTTAGCATGGTAGGAAAAGAGCAGATTGTGCCACATAATACAGTTCACTGTTCTGGTAATGAGACACTTCAATTGCAACACAATGCAAAGCTTACATTCACTGGCGATATCAGGATTTTCCTGATCGTAACTCAGACAAGCCTGTCTGGGTCCTTTTCTCTTATTATGTACCATACCATATAACATAAGTCTATAAAAACACATTAAGGCCTTTTGTAAAAATAGAAGAAAAGTTTTATAGCTTACTGGAACATATTACCAAATTTCCAATTACTCTGTCATGTTAGAATACATTGTCCTCTAGTAAATAAATACTGATATATGTTACATCACAATGTCATACTCTGTTTATAAATAGAACGGGAGTGTTTTTATATTGTTCTTTCCAAGTGATATGGCTGTCTGCAGCAACTATAACCACATGTTAGGATTTCAGTTGTTTGCCAGCTACTCCTACTGATCAAACGCACTGTTTTAGAAAGCATTGCTATTTGATATGTTAATTACCAGTTAATAAGTTATTCCTTCCAGTCCTGAACTGCTATTCTTATCATTCTGGAGAGAACTCTTCATATGGACTGTGAGAGACAGTGTCTGAATAGAATTTACAGTTTATGGAATCTGAACATCTGATCATTATCAGTAAATGCATCCATATGCAGATCAGAATTTGCATGGGGTATACATTTAGAATAGGGTTCCCCTGCTGCATTTTCAGGTCAACTGAGACTAGTATTTTTGTGCTTTTCTGTCCTTTCTGGCCCTTCAATAATATACATTCATTGCCTACCCCCAAATGGGATAGGTTCCCTTATTATCTTAATCATACAATTCCCAATTTAGTTTCTGATAAATCTTCAATAAGAAAGACATCCAAATAAGACTGGAATAATGAAATCATCAAATGAAGGGGAGTCAGGGGCCTTAAAGATTTCTGGCATTGGTGGTTCAAGGCTCTGTCTGACCTTATACAACTATCAGAATCCACCAGAGGTGATTGGCTAGCCCTGAGTCTGCTTGTCTGCCTGCTAGCAGGGCACTAGTTACCACAGCATAGGAGACATGGCTGAGCCTTGACCAATTCACACTTGGATCCTGGTTCAGTCATGTACCAGTGTTGTGACCTTGGGAAAGGAACCATTCTCTCTGAATCCCAGTTCAGACTTTGGATTCTGTATGAATATGCCTTTATGTTTATAGTTCCCTCATCAGTAAAATGGGTCTAATAATAAAAGTCACCTCAGAGGTATATTATGAAGATTAAATGTGTTAATCCATGTAAAGTACTTAGATTAATGCCCTGCATATAATTAGTCTTATAAAGGTTATGTCTGATGCAGACAGTGATGCAGATGATAATGGCAATGGTGCTTATCCACAAGACAGGAACAATGATGAAGGATAGCTGTGAGGATTAAGAGGTCCTGAATGTGAAAGCCCCCATAATATACTGCCTGATTCATGGTTGGTCTTGGGTAGAGGGTTGTTATAAAACTTGAAAAATATATAAACAAATTTAAAAAAACCTGAAAGAGCCCATAATCTCATAACCCAAATGTCCACTGCTAAATTATGAGAGTTTCAAGATACAGACACATCCTACCTAATTATAGGCAAACCTACAGTTTAAATGTGGAAAACCCCCCACATTTTGCATTTTTTTCACATAAAACTTATACTGTAGGAATTTCTTCCACACTATGAATGCTTTTTTAAAAGACCATTTTTAGTGGTTTTATTTTGTTTGTACTATGGATATAAATACGTATATCTCATACTGAGCCATTAAATTAATATTGGGTACTTGCTCTCGCTACCACACATATTTCACTGTGCTCAGTACACTGCTGCCGTGCACATCAGTGTACATAACTGTTTGTCTGCATCTCTGTTTACTTAGGTTAGATTCCTAGATGCGTAATTCTGGGGTAAAAGGAAATGGATTTTCTTAAGGCAGTTGATATAATATGGCAAATTGCATTCCATAAAGGATATAGCAGTTGTACTGTCACAAGAAGCATATGATATCATTTTTAACTATCATATTAGTGAAGTGTTTTTAAAAAATAAAAATATGATTCAGAGCATTGGGCTCATTAAATCATTAAATACAAAAATTTGTCCTATGGTATGTCTAGAGATGTTTGTTCTAGCTGGTTAAATTTTCTGGTTAATGGAGAGTTACCAAACACACCAGGCATAAATTTCTAATCTTCAAATAATTAGAAGAAGCCTTTGTTGGGTTTCTCAGCTACGACTACAAATTTTATAGATTATATTTGTAGCAGAGTGCCTGTTAATAAGAAAGCTTTTCTTCTGCCAGAGTGTCAGAGGAGTAAGGTTTGTTAGATTTTGTTCTCTTGTCAAATTGATGTGGCTGTGGCTGTGTCCCCTGGGGATGAAGAAAGGAAGATGAGAGCTACAGTGGACTGCGTGTATTCCGGCCCAGACACTCTGATCGTGTCATCTCACTCTATTCCCACAAAAGCCCTGTGAAAGTGCATGATTAGACGCATTCTACAGATGTTGAATTGAGGCTCAGAGAGTTTATGCAACTTCTGAAGGCCACACAGGTGATAAAAGGTACAATGGGGCTGGGTGCAGTGGCTCATGTCTGTAATGCCAGCATTTTGGGAGGCCGAGGTGGGAGGATTGCTTGAGCCCAGGAGTTCAAGAATAGCTTGGGCAACATAGCGAGACCCCATCGCTATAAAAAAAACCAAAAAACAAAAATTAGCCAGGCATGGTGGTGTGTGCCTGTAGTTCCAGCTACTTGGAAGGCTCAGGCAGGAGGATCACTTGAGCCTAGGGTTGAAGGTTGCAGTGAGCTATGATCGCGCCACTGCACTCTAGCCTGGGTGACAGGGTGAGACCTTGTCTCAAGAAAAAAGGTATAATGGGTATCAAATTCTGGCATTTTGGTTCCAAATTCTCTCTCCTTTCCCTCCACTGAGCTGCCTCCCCAGGGCCATTTCTGCAGAGGAATCATTCATTGTAGGCCCAGATGCTGCCCTGAGAAGGTCTTGTTGGTTGCAAGTGGTGGGGGGAGGGGAGATGGCAATGGCACCCTGAGGATGGAGTTGCAGTTGGACCCGGTTGCCATGCTGGGGAGAATTCACAGCCACCACCTACTAGAAGGAGAGGCACATGCCGGTGTCGTGGTCTGAGCAGGTCCCCATCCTTTCATGTTATAAGCTGAGACTTGAACAAAATACTGTTGGCCCTGCAAAGTATGGAAATAGAATGACGCATCAGGCATTTTATTTAATCACTTCACTCAGGATGCAAATCTCTATGTTTGATTAAGTTCATCCCTTTGCAACTCCGCTGCCCATACTTTAGCCTTCTGGCTTTTCTTTACTACTATGCTTGTATGTCATAGTGACAATATATGAGGTGCCTTCTTAGTTTCTATGTACTTTCTTTTTTTCAAAATTTGAATATGATAATTGCTTTCTGACCCCTCCAAAATTATATACCAATTTTTAAAAGTCACTCAGTTCTACAAGGTTTACCCCAAACAGCAATCCTTCACCGTCACCTCTTTCTCCTTATTTTTCCTTCCCCAGAGGCAATAACCATCACCTCTTTAGCTGATCAACTTGCTTTGGAAAATGAAAAAGTTGTAACGAATATCTTTTCAGATTTGTGCATTAAAGACATGCATCATTCCTTTAGTGGCTGCACGGTGCTTCACCGTGAGCAAATACCATCATTTATTTAACCAATCCCTCACTGGTGGATGCTTAGGTTATGCCCACATTTTATGCCACAATAAATAAAGCTGTGATAAATACTTTTTACTCAGATGTTCAAATATTTTTAAAATGAACTCTTTGATGTGACTTCAATTTTGAAACCATTATTAAAACAATGGGTTATATTCTTTAATGCCTTTTATGACATTAAGAATTAAGGAGTTGATTTTGTTTGCTGATAATCTTTTAAAATGTTTTGTATGGTTTTATGTTTTGCTTTGAGAAGTTTTTTTTTTTTTTTTTTTGGATAAACCTAAAAGGGCATTTGAGAAGGCAATATTCGATGAAACTCACAAAAATTGTGAAATGGTGTTGGAAGTTAAAAGAAAATAGCACATCTTTGCAGAACTTTTGCTAGGGATTTAATAATGTTGACCTTACCATATCATGAAGTTAATTTTTTTTAACATTAAAAGTGGGTTTCTATGAACCTCAAGGTTGTAGGGATTGTATAGAAGTGTAAATCTACTTTTAGGCTTTTATATGATTAGGATAGGGTCTGCTTTGCTCTCACTGGATGGTCAAGTGGAAAAACTTAATCCCTATAGAATTAGTTCAGATATTAGAGAAACTTTTTTATAGAGAATTTTCCATTTTTATGACAGTATCACTTTTTCTTTTAAGCAATGGAAATTCCCTAGGGTCCCTCCTGGCCCTCTTCCATCCCGTGAGCCATAGGGTTGGAATCAGTCTTCTACTGATAGCATCTCGGGGGCCACCCACTCTGGGGTTTGTTTGCTCTGGTAATCCAAAGTTTGGGCCCCTGGTATAGATGTGTGATTAGGACTAAAAGTCAGGATTCTGCGGTGGTTACCACAAGAATTCTATTAGAATAAGCTGCTTCAAACTTGAAGACATGCAACTTAATGCATCTTTTTAATGCTGGGTTTCAGGATTATACTTTATAGATAATTATTTCAATGGATTAACCTTTAAGAAAACAACCACCACAACAAAATTATCTTTCTACCTCCCCCATACGAAGTCTCATATATTACTTATTTGAATTGGACTGAAAAAAATAAAGGTTTAAGTTTACTTTTAAAAGATTTTGGAAAAAAAGATTTTTTTTTTATCTTTTGCACTTTAGTTGTTTTAGGAATTACAGTGTTTGTTCCAGTTTGAACTGATTTGAGAGGCGTTTTTATTTTTTGCATTTTGTATGCTTATATGGTTCATAACTCTGTAAATAATTATTGTTTGAGTTTAGATTGGTTAAACAAATAAGCAGTTTGTTCCAGTTTTTCATTCGCAGTTTAAATTGGTTTAGGTTACAGAGAAATGTAGCTCCACCATATATAGTTTCTTTTTTGTGAAAGCATATTTAGACAGTTTTTTTTTTTTTTTTTAATCAAGGGAAAAGGATTTCTCTCAGGAAATTGTGTGACTGCAATTGATGACTGATCTCAACTGAGGCTGAGGCTGTAGGGGTGAGGGTGAGATGTTATTTTTATTATACCATCAGACAGGGAGTCAAAACTGGATCTCTCAGAGCGTTTGATCCCCGCCCCCCGCCCCAAGAGATTAGACTGTGATCCAGAAAGCAGCAGCTTTCAAGGCTTGCACGAGGCCAGTCTTTTTATGATCTCCTTAAGAACATGGCCGTTTACAAAGTGATTCATGCTGTCTGCTTACTCCTTTGTAAAATTCAGATTATGGATGCCAGACATATCACACTTAATGAGTGGCAGTTGTTGCCAGAGAACTGGGCGTTGGTTGTTGCTTCCAGAATAGGCTACCAACATCCCAGCACAAACATCAGCGACAGGGGAATGGGAAGTCTGCCGTTGGGGGTGGGGGGACATTTACCGTCATAAGTCCTGTGATCGTGCATCTCAGGGTCTGCAGGTTATCCATGACGATTTCTCCAGCCAAAGGAGAGAAGTCTTTAGACATGCTCCATTCCACTGGAAGGAGGGTGTGTATGTGGGGGGAAGGGGGAGGGAGAGAGAGAGAATAAAAATCAGTCCTACATCAAGAAGCACCATACTAACTCTAACATATAATCCCTCTCAAATACGGTAAGTTTAAGTTTACCCGCCTTTCCTTATACTGGCTCATCTAACAGTCTTCCTTGGGATGTCAAGTCAGTCTCCAAGTTTACAATTATTTTTTAAAAGGAGCAAACAAACAAACAACAACAAAAATCTTACGAGATATTCGGCTCTTGATAGATATAATATTTATTGTGAAGTGAGTATATTTATGTGATGTCCTTAATGTGAGATATAATTTATATTAAATATATTGCCCACGAGGCCATTGCTGTATAAAGACACATTGTGTGTGTGTGTGTGTGTGTGTACACACTCACACTCAGGCACATTACATGTAACAGTTCATTGTATATAGAAGACAAATTATTTTTGTCTGCATGTGAGACGTGAAGGGTCCATTAAGACGTTACCTTTTATTCACTCTCCTAGTCTGGCTTCTGCTTCACCATTCTGAAAATGCTCTCTTGAAATCCCAGTGATTTCTCCTCCCAAATAAAGAAGACTTCTTTCATTACCTCCACGTCATTTGATACCTTCTCCCTCTGAAAACATTGTCTTCCCTCAGTGTCTCGTGTACTACTCCCTTCTCCTTCCCTCCTTCTCCTCCTGATGCCTTCTTCCAACCTTTATCTTTGGCTTCTCTTCAGCCCTACGACCTGGGGTTTGGGGCTGGCCTGCTCAATGCTCTTCTCCCCTGACATCCTGAAGGTGGGTGTTTATTCCCAGTTAAATCATCCAAATTCTAACACCTCATTTTACTGAGAGACCGTATTCTTTCATCACATTTTCCATTGCTTGACAAAGTCACGATCAGGAAAGATAAATTGTGCATCACCAGTAAAAACTATATTAAGTAACAGTTTACACATGGTGGGGTTTAAGGTAAGCAGAAATGAAGCGGGAACTTAAGGTGCTTAAGTCACGTGGGACACAAGGCCCCCGTGTTTCTAAACCTCATGATGATAAGCTATAGGTCTTAAGATTCAATTATATTGTCTATGACACTTTACTATTTTAAAATCAAACCAAACCATCCCTGACTTCTGCTGCTCCTCCCCGAGTCACACAATTCTTCTGCTTTGGGTGGCTGCTCCTGCATCCTCTCCTCCTCTTCAGAATGCCCCTGGGAACCTAGCTTGCTTTCCTCACTCTCTTGAAATTGCTCTCCTAAAATTCCTAGTGCTCTTATAATCAGCAACAGCCTCTCCTTGGGAAATCCTGTTGTGTTTGGCCTTCTCTACTTTTGGCAATTTTCTTTCCCCTTGGTTTCGGTTGTACCTTCTTTTCTTCTCTTACTTTTTAACTACCTCTTTCTAGGCTGGCTCCGCCCCTTCTCCGTCTCCCTTTGATGTGATGTTCCTTGGGGGTTTGGTGTTTGGCTCTTTTATTCACTCTACATGCTTGCTCCTGGTGTTGACTTTGTCCACTTTTATGGCTCCAACTAAAACTGTGATTCTAGGTCAAGCCTCACTCTTGAGTTCTAACTTCCTCCTGTAAATCTCCACTTGAGTGCCTCCCACTCATTTGAGTGTCCCCTAAGTACTTCTCTTTACCAAAATGTGTTTCCCCTCTTGCTTTCTCAACTTTAGCTCATGATACTGCCATGTATCCAATCGCCCAGCCAAAAATCTCAGCACATCCTTGCCCCCTTTTTTCCCCCAATTCCTCACTATCAGTGGATCACTAAACTCAGTAGTTTCCCTTCTAAAATGTCTCCTCTAAGTTCCCCTCTCCCCTGACACTGCAATTACTTTATGAATATGAGCATCAACTCTGTAATAGCTTCCTAATTGATTTTTCTTCTTGTCTCCTCATCCTTACATATAATCCTTTAACTATAGCCTGACTTATAGTTTAAAAATACAGATCTGAGGATTTCATTCTCACATCTTAAATCTTTTCATAGTGTCCAGTTGATTTCAAAATAAAATGAAATCTTAAGAAGGTCTTCAGGGACCTTCGTATCTGGTCCTAACCTTACACTACTATCTTCACCCCATACCATTGACCAGAAGAAAGCCTTTGATAAGTCCCGGGTACTTGATTATTTTATGTACTTTTCTGCTTCTATGTCTTTTGCTTATCTTCCAGCCTTTTCTTTGTGAAACTCGATTAATTTTTTAATACCTAGCAAAGTCAACTCTAAATTCCTCAGGAGTAATTAATTAAATACACCTGTTTTTGTGCTCGCAAAGTCCTTTATTCATATAAAAACAAGATTTCTTACACTATATTTTATTTTATGGTATATATCCTTTTCTCTTATTAGATCATAAGAAACTTGAGAAAAGGAAAAGTATCATTCACTTTTTTTTTCCTCTCTAGTACCTGGATCCGTGCTTGGTGCATGGAGGGTGCTTACTAGATATTTACGAATCAAATACATATATATGTGTACACATACACAAACACACACGCATACATATATATCCTTAGAATAGACTGTTTTTCCAACAGGGATATATTTTTCTTCCATGTGAATCTTCTCCTTTTCTACTCACTTGTCCTTTGAAACTCTCAGATATGTTATAAAAGCCAATCATAATCAGATGATTAAGATTATACATTAACTCTGAAACCAGGCCTATATCTCCTTACAAATATATATTCTAAAACACGTATATAATTATATATATGTACATATTTTTTAAAAACGTTTTATTCCATTTATGAGCTACTAGCTCTTGCAGAAGCCAAGTCTCTGAAAGTTAAATTGGGGAGGAATTTGTAATCAGAAAACAATGTTTACCTAATTTTAGCTATAAGAAAAAAGGGAATGATTGAGGGAGTTGTTACAAACAAAACAAAACAAAAATGAGTAGTAAGTGTGTAAGGACATCTGGAAAAAGCAAAGACTATAGGAAAATTCTGCAAAGAAAAATATGTTTGGTTGTCATTGAGACAGCACGATTGATTGGTATGGGGAACTCTAAGCGGAGAAGGTTGGGAATCGAAGGCTATGACTGCAGACTAGGAAGTTAGGATGAGTTCCTAAAAGAAGAGCAAGGGCTTAGTGGGAATAATACCAGATTATTTGCCAAGTGACTAATGACTAGTTGCTCAAAGATACAATTTTTAAAATTTCTGAAGAATCCACAATTTATTTTTGAAACTGTTCATGTTGTTGAAATATGTTTTACAAAGCATGTTTCAGGTAGAAAAGAGGGCCTGGCTTCTTGAAAAGCAAAACAAAAATAGAAGCAGGTTTGTAATGAGGTGTGATTCTGTTTTTGAAATTAATAGCAGGTTTTAAACAGTTAAGTCTAATTAGATCTTGTAACACTTCTGAGTTTCAAAGGGGAGGGGGCTAGAGAAAGAGAAGATTCACATCAAAGGAAAAAAATTCTCTATGTTTGGAATGGCCAGATCTATTCTGGGGCAAATTTTTCCCTCCAAGTACTTCCTTGGATTGGTGGACTCCTTTTGGCATGAAGCCACATAGAGAAGAAAGGAGTTTCTGGTCATTTAAAGAACTAGGAGGGGCCAGGTACAGTGGCTCATGCCTATAGTCCCAGCACTTTAGGAGGCTGAGGCAGGAGGATCTCTTAAAGCCAGGAATTTGAGGCCAGCCTGGGCAACATAGCGAGGCCCCATCTCTACAAAAAAATTAGCTGGGTGTGGTGGTGTGTGCCTGTAGTACTACCTACTCAGGAAGCTGAGGTGGGAGGATCACTCGAGCACAGGAGTTCAAGGCTGCAGTGAGCTACGATTGTGCCACTGCACTCCAGCCTGGGCGATAGAGTGAGAACTTGTCTCTTAAAAAACAAAACAAAACAAAAAACAGAAGGAAAAAGAAAGAGGAGGGAAACAGAGTGAGCAGGAGCAGGAGCAGCAGAAGTCACTTTGAGAGTGACTGGGAATTCTAAGAAGGCAACTCATCATGGTCTCTCCAGAAAGTTGTATGTAGGTAGTTTGAAGACTTAATACTAAAGCCCTGAGAAAATCACCTATAAGCCTGCTCTAAATCCCTGAAGGTCTGGAGTCATGTATATGAACTTTAAAACCATATAAGAATTATAATTTTTAAGATAAAGATCAGAGAAACTGTTTCTACTTAGGTCTGGGAAATAGAAGCAGGGTTTGATCATGCAATGGCTCAGAGCAGTTGAAATTAGCACGAAAGGTACCAGACAAAACCGAGGTGTTAGTATTCCTCAAAATTTGGCTGTGGCTCAAAATGTGATTCACTATATTTATATCAAATAACTACGAATACTTTAAATGGGATTCTTTGTTATTTTAACAAATATTTAATTTTTATCTAAGTTTCAGAAATGTAGTCATTTCTCCAGGAAAATTCTAGCTGAAACACCACCATTACTTGATGGCAGCTATATAAACTACAGGCCAAAGCTTAAGAAGAAAAAGAGCTCCTGAAGTCTGGCCCTGTCACCCTCAAGTCTATAATGTTAAGGGAAATGTCACAGAATCAGTGACAAGAGTGGACAATTCGTGACTTAAAGTGTTAGGGTACACAAGTAGAGAGCATAGTCTAAAGCTTAGGTGAATTTGGAGGCTTATGGCGTGGACTATGTGATTCATACCTGCTTTAGCCGATAACACCCTTAAGTTTCAGGCCAGCTTTTTGAGAGGTGAAGAGTATGCAAAAGTAAAGGCATAAAGAAAAAAAAAACCACTACAGCAATGTCTAATTAATTTCTATTCAATTGATTGTTTAAAAAAGCACAAAACTTGCTATTCTGAAGATTCTCCCTAAAATCTCAAATGCCTTGAAGCCCAGAGTTGTTTTATCCTATTCACACATCAGGAGTGTATTATAAAAGCTGTATTCTGTCCTTTTGCCCGGACCTCACTAGAATCCTCTGCTTAGCCTCCTCAGTCACTGGACCTCGGACCCATTGCTTATGCTGTTTTCTCCCTTGGTATACTTTCCTCTTCTCAAAAAA